TTCATGAAATTCTTGATTTCCTTCAGCAAGGGAAAAAAGCTCTGTAGTACCTTACCCCTGCTCAGACATCTGACGTCTGTGTGGAGGAGCGAGATCACCATACTCAGCAGACAGTTCCTCAAAAAACAGTTTGAAGCTTCTCTGTCGTTTGGCCTTTGCTCGAATGGAGTTGATCATCTTAACAACTGTTCCTTACATATCATATAAGCATGCACCAGCACAAAATGTGTAACACATGCAGCAGCATAATCCCTAAAAAGCCTAAAATCATTACTTAAACATAATCTGCCTGTTTCCAGTTTAGATATGAAACACATGTACTATGATAACTTGGATTTACTGTTTCTTATTTATGATGTTTGAAGTTCTTGCACAAATAACTCAAATTGGATTTAAAGACCCCATAGCCTCATACCAGACCACTTCCATAGGCCAATATATTTCACCAGTTGTTAGCTCAAAACGGCATGTCATTGCCAGAAAACTTAAATCAACTTCAAGGGAGGCTGAGAAAACGTGTGGAGGATACAACTCTAATATGTTGCTACCATAATAATGTCAAAACATGAAATATTTGTATGTGTTAGCCAATGCAAACACATTAAAGCAGTATTAACAATCTGCTTCGTGAGACCATCTTTGATCCCCTTCATCCTTTATCTTTGGTAGTGGCGGTGGTGCGGCGCAGTTCTGGCCTTTAGTCCGACATTCGATGTGTGCCATGCTTTGTTGCTTAGAAACCCCTCATGTGGCTCCGACTGGGGTCAGCGGCTGCTAAACGGTGTGTTTTTTTTAATCTCCGCAGAAGTCATCGCTTTGTCAGCCTGTGACTCTGGGCCAGTTCTCACTGTGCAGCTGGGTCTCGCCACTACATCAGGTTCAGCTCAGGTAGCAGGCGCAGTGAGAAGCGCTGGATCAGACTCTCACTGACTTGCACTACAAGATTGGTGCTTTGAAAGTGGAAAATGCACAAACGGATGGAGATTTTCACTCGAGTCTTCCGGGATCAAAGTCACTGAAGAGAGAGGAAAGTGTGAAGGCATGATCATATGTGAACGTTTATCTCACACAGACACGCACACACCCTCAAATCTACTGTTAGCTCTGTGATTGACAACCAAACGACACAGCAAAATGTCTCCATCCGCTGAATTCCCCAATAATTTAACATGTCAAAGACGCTTCAACCTCCAAATGACTGGAGAGATTTTCACGCCGAGAGAATAACCACGAAACACCCATAATGAATATGTTTTATACCAGACAGTCTAATATCCTCTGCCTGTATATCATCAGCCTGTCAGTGTACCTCTCCTCCCTCTGCCCTGACTGTAAACTGTGCCTTTTCAATGGAAGAAGGCCTGACACACTACAGGCTTCGGGGCAGCTTCAAACCCTGCTGCGTTGTTCATGACCTCCTCTGTTATCACTTCACCGCTACTCCTCACACCTGCACTCAAGAATAATATTTACCCTGTCTGTCATCATCATCATGGTGGGTGTGTGTGTTTGTGTGTGTGTGTGTGTCTTCCTGTCTTTGAGTTAGACGTTAATGATGACTTCCAAATGAAAGAGAGGGAACGGACACGGCCTGTCTGCTTTTCCTGAGAAAACTCAGTTTCACACAGAGAGCTTGAATACCAGTGCAGAACGAAAAACTCCCTGGTCACTCATAATATTTCAATTAGGCGCTACTTCTATGCATGAGCGTGCATATGCATGTGTGTAAATGTGTGTGCTTGCTTCGCTCTGTTTTGTGCATTTATGTGCAGGCCAGATAATAACTGGGTGGCTATCTGAGGTGAGGAGGTGTGATGATCACTTTGCGTGGCATGTTGCCTCCTACCTCTCTCGGTAAGCTATGAGAAATATGCCATCCACTCGTGAAACAAGATGCGATTGCTTGCCTTCAGAAAAATAACAGTTAAGTCATATTCCTCTGAGAAATTAAACATGAGCAGGGAAGGAGAGAGATTCAGGGGGACTGGGAGAATGGAGAGAGGCCAATATTTTCTTTGTCTGTTTTTCGAGGTTTGAGGAGGCTGGGGAATCGTTCGTAATGAGAAAGACAACAACTGGAGGATGATTCTTTTCAGTTTTCACCCGTGAGAAGATCAGCACAGCAGGTTTTTGGATATAGACACGTTTTCATGCATTTGATCCGTCAGTTTTTCAGTGATTTAATCTGCTTGTGCTCTCACTGTTTTTAACCAGTTTTGTGTCTGAAATTTTGATGTGAAAACGCAAAATCAAAGAAGGTAGAACTGGCACACGTTGGCAGATTTTCAGATAAACAAGAGAGCAGCACATTTTAGTCAGGCATAGTAAATGTGTGTCAGACAGTTGCCTGAAAGACTGTTTGATGGTTTATGTTCACTGAAGGTGACCTACTAGAATTGTTTAAAGCCATTGTTCAACATTTTGGGAAGGATGTTTACTTGCTTCTTTTGCCTACATGACAAGATCAGTACCACTCTCCTATCTGTCTATTCAGTCTGAAACTAGAGCCAGGCAGCAGCCAGTTAGTTTAGCTTAGCATAAAGACTGGACACAGGGAGGAAAAAGCTTGCTTGGCTCAGTGTGGAAGGTAAGAAAATCGGCTTACCGCCACCTCTTAAGATCACTAGTTAAAACACTATATCTCTTCAGACAGAGCCAGACTACCTGTTTCCACTTATTTCCAGTCTTTATGCTAAGCTAAACGACGGGCTGTAGTTTCATATTCAGCGTGCAGACATGAGAGGGGTATCAATCTGCTTATATCATTCACTGTCAAACTATACTTTGAACAGATGTAATTTACATTTTCTCTGTTTCTAGATTATTATTTTAATTATAACTGTCAGACATTTGCAGTTTTTTTTCACCAGTCAAGATGAACTCACACCATACCAACACTACATAACTGTACAGTAGACTGATATAAACACAGTATATCCATATGTAAATTGCATATAAAATATAATAATAAGAAAGATTACATGTGAGATTAATTTCCATAAAGACAACTTACATGTTTGACAACGTAAAGCCTTAAAATCCATGTGTCAGCTCTTTTTTAATCACTGTGTACATTTCTTTGATCAAGTACACGCTGCATCAAAGGGTTAATACAATCTAAGCTCTTCCTTGATGTTGCAATTTTCAACTGCTTAAGGGAAGTGACTCATAAGGATTACAAGAAACTACTATTTTGTCATTTGGATTTGCAGAACTTTGCTGACATTGTCACTTTTGAAACGTACTTGTTGGAAGTGGCACTGAGGCAAACACTTCACAGTTCACTAGAGCATAATGAATTAGAAGACCATTAACAATGCCCGTCCGTGGTCCCTGCAAAATGCAGATTTAGTGCACTCTGTTTGAGTACTACTACCCACAGCACTGCTCTCACTATATTTATATCACTATGATAATCTGATTGCTTTGGTGTTGAGTAGAAAACATACAAGTGGACAAAATTACAGAAACACAGCAGATTATAATTCAGAGCTATTGACTATTACCAATCTTTTTTGTAAAATATGATTAATACCAGGCAGTAGTTAATATTTAATCCCTTTGGCTAAAGTATGAAAAAGGCAATAATAGTTTTGGAGTGTGATAAATGCTGTAAGTGAAAATGTGCAGAACAAATACAGTACTGAAGCCACCACTGAGCTGGTTTCCTAATTTGTTGTTTATAGGGGTCTGCACTTCCCTGTTGTGTGCAATAAATCTCAATTTACAAATAAATGCATCTCCTCTCAGCATCCTCAGTACTGTCTTTATCATCCCTGAGGAGAGCAAATGTGAAATCCCCCATTTGTTGCAGCAGAGGCCTCCATAGCAACCACCCACCTCTGCAGAGGGGCATCTGATAATGTGTATTTGCTGCCATCTAGTGGACGAATGTAATTGCTTTATTCGGTGTAATACAGGTTGTGTGCAATAGGGGTCAGTATAAGGTCATTTTTCACATTTGCATGAGTTTTGTTTATTCAGCCTCAACATGACACTTTTTTTATTACTGTGGGAACTAACCTGCGTTGTGTAAAATGACCACTAGATGTCAGTAAGTGGCTCAGTTTGCATGGGCCTTTGAAGCATGAATAGTGGGAGTGGTGATCAGGTGCATTATTGGCTATCTCTCAGTTATCATAGGAGATGCTGTAAACAGATTTTGTTGACAAAGTGAATACTGTCTCTCCTCCTCCTCCTTCTCCTCCTCCTCCTCCCTGATTGAATCTATTTAATTTACCTTTTATCTGCTGAGGATGTCTCCAGTTCTCTCATCAATGCAGAAGAACACTCACCTGAAAATATGTTTAGAGATGTTTACACCTCCATGCAAATGATGGCCTCAGGGTAGGAAGAAAACCCAACAACACTGAGAGACGTTTGAAAAGCGAAGACAGAAGAAGAGACAGAAAGATGTTCAAAGACAGGTGATCTACACAGTTGGCTTAAACTCTCAGGTTTCATTCATTGGTCCACTCCCACAGCTTTGGGAGGAGCTTGATTGCTGCTCTCCTCTGATTGGCTCCTGAACCTTGTTTAAAATATGTTAATTATCCCTAAAGCATCCAATCACAGAGCCAGAAACAGCCCCTTTACTTGCATATTCAAAAAGTCTGCTCCTGCCTCAGATCTAAGGTGTGTGTGTGTGTGTGTCTATATATAGGTGTGTGGGTATTTTTGTGTGTGTGTGTGTGTGTGTGTGTGTGTGTGTGTGTGTGTGTGTGTGTTTTCCACACTTGTTGATGGGTTCATAGAGAATTTTTCTTCTGCTTCCAGTGGGACAGGATTACACCTCTTTTTCTCCTCCCTACTCCCTCCCCACCTCTACCACTCACCCTCCCCATCGCTCCATCAATCCCTCTCCACTCTCAGCTCTCTCCTTTCTCCTGCGTGGATTTTTCAGGGCTGTGCACATAGCCCCACCACCTCTTCCTTCCCTCCCCCCCTCTTTCCTCTCGTCCAGCTTTGCTCCACCAGTTCCGCACTGTGCCGGCCTGGAGAGGAGTAAGGGAGCGGAAAGAGGAGCAAGAAGAGAGGATTTGGTGAACCGAGGAGAGACAGACAGGGGAGAGGGACCATGGCTGCTCTCTCTGCCTTGCTGAAGACCTGGGTTATACTGCAGACCTTGTGCCTGGCTCTGGCCCAAGTGGTGAGTGGACAGGGGAAATTGAGACCGGGTCTGCTAAAGGCTTTGCTTCTTTATTCTGGGGTTCGGTGAGGACAAGGGCCCCTGGAAGGGGCCAGCAGGCTCTGGATGTCTTGAGGTGATGTTTTGGGTTGTGCGCTGTCTTGGTGCTGGTTAAGGTGATGAAAATGCTGGCTTTATATTATGCATGTAAAAGAAAACAAAAAGATGAGCTTGAAATGTGTTTGCTGCTGTGAAGACAAAATGAAACTGGACTATCTTCTGTGGATTATCATCCTTATCGTGTATGGAGTCTTATCTCTTCTTAACTGAGGAGCTCCTATTGAAGGCGAGGATTTGTCTTTACCTGGGGTACTTCTTTTAATGCTTATTTTTTTCAAGAAGACTTTTATTCATGGAAAAATGGAGGAAAACGTGAAAGAGTTTTCAGTTTTTCATGGGCAAACTAAGCAGCCATGACAGAGATGGAAAGTACTGAGCATTCACACATACACACACACTTTGTCCACTGGGTGTGAAACCCCCTATTCAAACACACACCTACGTGCTATCTATTGGACTCCTTTTTTCACTCTCAAGGATTATTTTTACTTTTTTAAATTTTGTACATTTTTCTTGAATGCTTGAAGAATTCAAAGTTGGATTATCATCTGATGGACTGGCTCATCCACTGAGATGATATGCAGTACAGGCTGAGGAGACAGTGAGACAGAGAGAAGGGCATGAGGTGGTGGGGGGTGGTGGTTGGTGGTAAACAGTGCCAGTCTCATGACCCCTCCTCCCACATTCCTCCTCAGTCTTTTGTTTTTATCCCCTCAGTTTTATTCAATACTATCCCAAATTTCCTTATTTTTTATATGGTTATGTGGTTTCTTTTATTTTTTTGTCGAAGTTAACGAACACATTGCAGTCACCTGCCTAGAATGGACTGATATGATGTAGGTCTACTCTGCATCATATGAAAAATGATTGTTTCACTATATATTTATCCATTATTTACTATCGCTGCATTACTTGTTGTTGCCAAAGTGATAGGTATCCAGTAATCTGTACAGCACATCCAGTCTAGCTAATACTGTTTGAATGCTTTGACAACATTAACTGTTTGTGTAACACCAAATTAATAGATCTAATTAACTCTAAATTTCATGATTATATTACTATAAAGTGAAAGAATATATATACTTTTTTGCATCATTGGCTACAGTATCACAATAAAATTCACATTGCTACATGATATTCCAGTTCAAAATATGTTTTGATATTTGTTCATTACTATAAAAGAATCGCATGGAGGTCTAAATTTTTCTTTCTGTCTGTGTTTCAGAGGGGTCCACCTGGACCTCAGGGCCAGCCCGGCCTACCAGGCCCTTCTGGCACTCCTGGATCGGACGGCATTGATGTGAGTATCCACACAAGTTTGCCCAACAGATTGGTCACAAAGACCATCATTGTGCTGGAGAAATACCAAACCCTGTGCTTCTCTGAAAGACTGGAGTCTTACCAGCAGAGGGCACTGCAAATGAAAACACACTGGTACAAAAGATCTCTGTTCCTCGCAGAGAGAGGGGTCTTTGAGAAGGGACCCTTAGCTCAATCCTGAGTTTGTGTCACAGTAATGTGATACATTTGAGATATTCTCAGGGTTAACCACATACAGGTTGTGCAAATATGTAGGAAATGAAGGCTGCTGGACCAGTGGAGCAAGAAACTGCAAGCTGCAGGGGATTTTTGGTTTCTGTTTTATGATCCAAAATCAGATGTAATGAAACATTTGGTCGTTTGGATCATCTTATACATTTGAGCCATAAACAATGGTCTATGATATTAAACTTTATTGCACCACCCTCGTTCATTCTCATCCATCTCCCACAGATATGCTCAGCATCAGGTTGCCACCAGAATGTAGCTGGGAAAAATTGGCGTGTTAACACCTCCCATTTAAAAAAAAAAAAAAAAAAAAAAAAAAAAAAAAAGACCAATGTGCTTAGTCCAAACTGGAAGTTGTAGTTTGCCCTCTTATTTCTAAATTGTAGCTTTTCCTATTTGGGTCTCTGCCACACAGGGGCAGATACATGTCAACATGAAAAGACCTGAATCAGGCCAGAAAGAAAAAACTTGATCTAAATATTGTTTACGCCATAATCACTGGCCGAATCTTTGAACTTGTGCCTGAAGAATATGATATTAACAAGTTGTTGCCTTGTCGCATAATGAGTGTTTGTGTGATGTACCCTAATTAGTCAAAACAAACAGACCCTATAATTTCTGTATATGACAAAACAAAACAAACATTGAAATATAGTTAAAACTGCATCATTTGTTTGTGTGTTATGAGCGCCTACCACATGTACCACCACATGTACCATTCCCTCCTCTGCCAAATTAACAAATCCCAGATAAATGATTTTAACCCTCTACTCCATCTCTCTGCAGGGAGAGAAAGGACCTCCCGGGCCCCCTGGTCCACCAGTAAGTTTGTACTGTGCTGCTTATTTGATGTTATATGGCAAAAACTTTCATGTTTGATTTCTCTGGCCTTGGTTTTGTAAATGACAGTAGTGTGTTTGTTTTAATGTAGGGACTTAAGGGAGAGCCAGGAGAACCAGGCCCCGATGGTGTGCCAGGAGAGAACGGCATTGATGTAAGTAAATAGACTGATGAGTGAGAGAGAAGAGAAGCGAGATGGATATGAAAATATATATGACATGATCAAAAACAAAAATGTTTCCAAAAAGAGACACTCTAAAAAACAGCGTAATGAAGACAGAGAGAGAGAGGGAAAAACACTGAGGAAACTTTTACTCTTTATTCTTGCCTTTATTCTTCTCGTATATTCCCACAGGAAGGGTATGATGGGACTTAGCCATTGTGTAAAAGAAAGTGAGTTTGAAAGAATACACGCTGGGGGAAAAACAGCCAAATACGTGTACAGTTTTTGAAACCAATAAAAGTACACAACCATACACAAAAACTTTTCTTGAGTTAATGAATAACATTTTCCTGAGACTCTGGGAACCATAAGTCATCACTATAGTGAAGGTGGAATATGACAGAAATGTGTAAAATATTAAAAAAAATGTATTATAAAGCCAAAAGATCTTGAGATCAAAATTTTAAAGGTACCCTGTAGGGCTTTTGCCCACTAGTGGTTCTGTAGATCAATGTATGGATGAGCAGGTCCCTGTTTTGTTTGTACAACCACATGCTCAAAGACATACATACATGCCTAAACTGTGGAGCGATAGACATTTGCACTGACTGGGAAAGAAGGTTTAGATAATAATTCTAAAAAAATACAAATTTGATAGAACAATCCCAACTCAAGGTTCACTTATATTACTATTTTTTTTCCTGAGCTTTCAACAGTGTCACAAGGTCCTCATCAGAACCCGTGTTTGCCCAGGTATCATGAAAATGGAATATGATTTTGTCTATTGTCTTTTGAAAGCATCAAAGTTCTTTCTTGAACTTGGAAATACCACTTTGATCAAAGCAATTCCAACTAAAGGTCCACTTACTAGATTTTTCCAACCATATCACAGAGCTGTTATGTTTTCATAAATGCTTGTTACACCTCAAGGATCTGAATTTTCGATGAGAAATGTTGCGTGTAAACAAAACTCCACATGTTACCTTTAAGTCATTACATAGTCAGCAGGATGGGCATGAAAATGACTTCTTTTAAAATGTCATGAAAATATATATTATTGAGCTAATGTTCAGCTTTTGTTTTTGTTTTAATGTAATATTTAAAGCATTTTGTAATGCTTCCCATTTTGCTTATTCTCACTGTCATAAAGTGTCACAGCTCTTATTTTACAATTCAAGAACAGGTCATGAGGCCACTTCAAGCTTCTGTGCATTGAGCTGTTTTCATATCAAGGTGCTTAGAGTTTCCCCTCTGTCCTTAAGTGTTTAATTGAATGAATATTGTCATGGTACTGCATCACTTACCCTTGAATATTTGTTTCTTGTGATTACAGTGATTTAGTAATTTCATGTATTTCAGTATTTCATGTTTTCAGTCATGGAAATGTGTTTTGAATGGATGTTTGAAGAAATAATTTGGAAAATGTCCTCTTTTTGAAACTAAATGATAAGGTGAATATACTTTTATGTTCAATCCATTTTCCCTCACTGATTACACTTATTAAACCTCTAGTAATCACAGGTAGCGAGGAGATGGAGATAAACACAAGTAGATGAGTTTAAAATGATTTTCAGTCCTATATAATAATGCTAATGATAGTTGTGATGCAGCTTTCCTGAAGGCAGTGACTGTGAGGGAAGGGGAATTGAGTGTCAATGCCTAATGGTCACATGCTAAAACAAGCACACACACACACACACACACACACACACACACACACACACACACACACACACACACACACACACACACATGCATTCCTAAGAGATTTAGCCAGTAATCCGCCCTGGAATCTCAATCTCGGGCTTGTTTCCTAATGACTTACAAGAACAGTGTCAGCTTCGATCAAATGTGTGATTAGCCCTGTTGCAAGGTGAATTCAAGTCACATGTAGCCTGAGGAAAGCACAGTGGTAACTGATGATTTCCTTTCTAACCTCCTCAATGTTTTCCCTTTGCTTTTTTTTTTTTTAACCTCTGTATACATGTCTAGTTTATCTGCCTGACTTCTTTTCTCCCTTCATGTCTCCAGGGTTTGATTGGAGCAAAGGGTGACCGAGGTCCTTTTGGGAGCCCTGGCCCTAAGGCAAGTGTTTAAACCCCCATCTCGAAAGATTATCAGAACACATTGTTATACTGCTTTTCTGTGGCAAACCAGCAACTCAAACAATGGGTGGAATAAAGCTTTCATTTTTCACAAGGGTCAGTTTTATAATAAAAGAGTCTCAGAATCATATTGCCTTTATCTTGTCCTACTGAGGACATGACGCTGACGCTGAAGTATAATAATTACTTTGTCTCTGAAGATTTTCTGTCATATGTGATAAGATATTGTTTCACCTTCAGTACAACAGTTTATGCCCTCAGGATATTGTCATCATCTGACATGTTACTACTATCGTTATATTGCTGTTTTCTGTCGTCTGTAGGGACAACCTGGACCAAGTGGCGAGCCCGGCCCTCCTGTAAGTAAATGATTCATTATTTAACACATTTTTTCTACTTTAGTATATATTCATATTTGGTATGACAAAGTAGATTATACATTATCTCATAAGGCTGGCGTGATACCTGTGAATTGACTATTGACTGGCAGAATTAGGCATTGTTGGAAGCCTAGTCAGTTTCCGAACAAATTCCCAACATATTGTAACCCAGCTGGTCTCATAAGGCAACCTCCCGAGTCCCTTTTTCTTCATGCCTGAATGCCTGACCAGCTGTGCCCCCTTTTGCGTTCAGTCTACCCAGATGTGGCATATGCTTTCTACAGCTGACATGAGCCTTATTTCTATCCACAATCCTCAATAAAGAATAGAAGTGCTATCAATGATCCGCATGTTAAGCTCATATTATCATCAAGTGCTGCCACACTGACTTAATGCACAAGGCCAGTCAGTTCAACGGTGCAAAATGTGCTGTAACACAGTCAGACCCCACTAGGTGGTGCTCTGTATCCACCTATCACACATCATCTAGTATATTCAAACACAAAGTCCAGAGTCACCCAATGTCATGCATGAATGCAACACTATTAGTTAAATCCTTTGTTTAGCATTAACAGGCGTGCTGTCTGGGGGCTGTGCTTGTAGACCCAGCTGCCTCACGCTGCACAGACAGGAGATCCTGCCCTGTGGGTTGTCTTCCTCCAAGAAGGCTTACTTACTTAATTACTTTTTTTTATATAATTAATTCCAAGCAAAAGACTCAGCAAACATAAACTGATTGCATTCTGTGTCTATGTTGTTCTTGAGCACTGTTTACCCTGCACTCTGACACTGTACACATGTGTTTCTAAATTACTGTTGCCATTATTAATTGGCTTACACAAACCTTAACTGATACTTTGAGTGATTGGTCCCACTTGTTATACAGTAATTTAACCCCTTGTCCCTTCTGTCCACACAGGGATCCGGCCTTCAAGGACTGGCTGTAAGTAGCTTGTATGGTATAATACGATTACACCTTTATCAATTTGGTTTGAGGTGTGGAAATCATTTTGTGGCCTTTTGGACATGTACACACTGTACATTCTTGGTCTGTGTGTCTCTCTGTCTAGGGTGCTCCAGGGCCAATCGGTCTTCCAGGTGAAATTGGACCAACTGGACCAAAGGTAGGACAACTGCTTCAGTTTATTGTACTAACTTCATGACTTACGGACATCTTATAAACATGTGACATTGGTAGAATTACCTTACCTTGCCAGTGCCATATTTACATATTTCTTTCCTCTGCTATGACTAGGGCATCATTGGACCATCTGGACCTCCAGGACTTCCTGGACCTCCTGGCAAGCCAGTAAGTGTCCGACCAGGACAGGTTGTCTAGGAAGCATCTTATTTACCTGTCATCTTTCTCTTGTTGGGCTGCTACTGAGTATCAAGTTGTTGTAGTGGGGATGGAAAAAACAACAGGAACATTCATAAACAAACATTTTTGAAAAGTATCCCATAATGTTCTTTTTGTTTTGTTTTTAGGAATTGTGACCAAGATATAAACTGAGTTAGACATTTTACAGCTACACTAATATCAGCTGATACATCAGCCCAGCAAATGTACCAGTCTAGCTCTAATAGCAACAATGGAAACATGGTGAATAAAACAGTGCCGCTTGGATAAACTCAAACCTCATCCATCGAAAAGCTGTCGCAGTAAATCATTTCATATCTGTGACTGACGACAGTCTTTTCATTGAGACTGGTGAGATCAGCTGTAAAAAGAGTGAGAGATAAATGAGCTACCAGCAGCTCATTGGGCTTAATCAAGCATATAGTTACACCAGTCTAATTGCAGTTAACTTATATAATAGAATGGGGTCACAGTGTAAAAGTAAAGCAAAGACAAACTCAACATCACAACTGCTAATGCTATGTTGAAGTTTGATCTTTTCTGCAGAACCCTCAGCAATTTTTCTTGTTTTTTTAAAATCTGCTGTATGATAACAAAATACCTAGCACAGCCAGAGCTCACTGCTGCCTGTCCAGGTCCCAGTAGAGACTAAGTGGTGAGATATCACAAACAGTTTTGAGTGGTACACTTTCAAGTCTATTTTCCAATGGTGTATGTACTCTCCTGTGTGGTTCCAAGAGGGGGAGGAGGGTGTCTTCATTGAGAGTGATGTTCCCAGCCCAGGGGAGTGTATTTGTTTAGCTCTAGTGCCGTCCTAGGGTAAATAAACCCCCATTAGATCAGTGGAGCTGTCTCATCTGACTGTAGCAGGAATACATCAGCCCCTGTAGAGATACTTTACTTTCTAACTCAATCTATAAACGGAGAGAAGAAAAGATGGAGGGAGCAATAGATAGAGAGAGAGAGAACGAGAGAGTGCTGGCTCAGCGCAGGACATACAAGGAAACTGTCTGCCATCTGTGACCAGGTGACTTTTTTCTTCACCCATCTATCTATCTATCTATACATCTGCCTAGGGTCCTCCAGGGAAATTCATTGGTGGGGAAGAGGGCAGTGCAGACTTCCAGGTAAGATCTAATGACATCTGCTTTCTTGCAAATCTGTTTTGACACACTTTTCATAATCCGTATATTTCCCTCTCTCAACAACAGTGTCCTCTTAACTGTCCAGCAGGACCAAAAGGCCCACAGGGACTGCAGGGAGTCAAGGTGAGCAGTCTGTGTGTGTTTGCCTCAAGTTGCTCTGAAGGAAAACCTTTTTCAGTATCAATATCTGTTACATTACAAAATTGTTGTGACACAATACTGATTTATTGTTGCCCTCTAGGGACACAAAGGACGTGCTGGTGTTCTCGGAGAGCCTGGCAGCATAGGAAAACTGGTGAGCTGCACAATCACTGCTGGGGAGGATACACAAATGCACTCAAACACCCATACTTGTACATGTTGTACAATCTTGCACACTCACCCACCATTCAGGACCAGCAGAGGCAAGGATTAGCTCTAATGAAGCCCCCCGAGGCACATGACTGGCACTAATCTGGCTGCGATTAGTCAGGCCTGGCCCTGGCCCTGCAGTCAGCATGCAGTGAGCCAGATGAAAGGGGTGGTGAAGAGCCAGGTACATAAAGGGGAGGATGAGAGAGTCAGGGTTCGAGCAGCCCTCTCACCTCACTGTATTAAGCAGAGCTAATGAGCACACAGTGGGCTCCAAGGGAGCGGCTAGCCAAGCCCCAGGAATTAGCCTCTGATCTTCCCACACAAGCAGTATTCTGGCAGCGGTTAGATGCGCAAAACATTCAATGCACCAACTTACCACTTCTCTCATGCAAGCCAGTATTTTAGAAGACCTGCACTGACTCAAGGTTGCTTTGTGGTGCAGCTTTCCCTTTTTCTTTACTATATTATAACATTTTTGATGTTTTTATGTCTTACTCTACTAATACGTTCTTTGATGTTTTTATGCCTTACTATACTATGACGATTTTATGACATCTTATGCCTTAATATACTATGACATTTCTATGCCTTACTAGAATATGACGTTTTTATACCTTGCCATAAAATGACGTTGTTTGATGTTTTTATGCCTTACTATACTATGACTTTTTTTGACTTTTCTATGCCTTGCTATACTATTACGTTTTTTTTATGACATTTTATGCCTTACAATGATGGTTTTTGACAAATTTTTATGCCTTTCCATACTATGAAATTTTTTACATTTTCAGCTGTACTATGCTGTTACGGTTTTTGATGTTTTTATGCCTTACTATACAATGATGTTTTTATGACATTTTATGCCTTACTGTACTATGACTTTTTTTGACTTTTTTATGCCTAATTTACCATGACTTTTTTTAGGTTTTTCTGCCTTACCATGATATGACATTTTTAGGACATTTTATGCCTTACTATAGTATGACGTTTTTTTGCCTTACAATAATATGACGTTCTTTGATGTTTTTATACCTTACTATACTAAGACGTTTTTATGACATTGTATGCCTTTCTATGACGTTTTTTGATGTTTTTATGCCTTACCATATTATGACATTTGTGACATTTTATGCCTTACTATGCTGTTACAGTTTTTGATGTTTTTATACCTTTCCATACTATGATGTTTTTTAACTTTTTTATGCCTTACTATACTATGACTTTTTTGACATTTTTATGCCTTACTATAATGTGACATTTTTATGACATTTTATGCCTTACTATACTGTGATGTTTTTATGCCTTACTATACCATGACATTTTTATGACATTTTTAGCCTTACTATAGACAATGACATTTTCTGACATTTTATGCCTTACATAATATGAGTTTTTTTTGACGTATTAATGCCTTACTATATACAGTGACGTTTTTGGATGTTTTTATCCCTTATTATATTATGACATTTTATGCCTTACCATAATGTGACATTTTTATGACATTATATGCCTTACTGTACTATGTCATTTTCATGCCTTACTATACTATGACGTGTTTGGATGTTTTTATGCCTTACTATGCTATGACATTTTATGCCTTGCTATACTATGACTTTTTTTGAGATATTTATGCCTTACTATGCAATGACGTTTTTGGAAGTTTTTATGCCTTACGTCATTTTCATGCCTTACTATACTGTGACGTTTTTATGCCTTACGATACTATGACTTTTTTGACGTTTTTATGCGTTACTATACTATGACATTTTATGCCTTACTATCCAATGATGTTTTCTGACGTTTTTTTGCCTTACTATACTGTGACTTTTTCTGACATATTTATGCCTTACTTTACTATGTCATTTTCATGCCTTACTATACTGTGACGTTTTTATGCCTTACGATACTATGACTTTTTTGACGTTTTTATGCGTTACTATACTATGACTTTTTTTGACATATTTATGCCTTACTATACTATGTCTTTTTTTGACATATTTATGCCTTACTATACTATGTCTTTTTTTGACATATTTATGCCTTACTATACTATGACTTTTTTTGACGTTTTTATGCCTGACTATATTATGATGTTTTTATGCCTTACCATAATGTGACATTTTTATGACATTTTATGCTTTACTATACGGTGACGTTTTTATGCCTTACTATACCATCACATTTTTATGACATTTTATGCTTTACTATACAGTAACTATTTCTGAAATTTTATGCCTTACTATACTATGATGTTTTTATGCCTTACTATACTATGACGTTTTTATGACATTTTATGCCTTACTATACTATTATGTTTAATGCCTTACTATACTATGACATTTTTATGACATATTATGCCTTTCCATAATATGACTTTTTTTTTGACATTTTATGTCTTACTATACTATGACTTTTTTGACGTTTTTATGCCTTACTATATTATGACGTTTTTGTGCCTTACTATATTATGACATTTTATGCCTTACTATACTATGACGTTTTTATGCCTTAATATACTATNATGCTTTACTATACAGTAACTATTTCTGAAATTTTATGCCTTACTATACTATGATGTTTTTATGCCTTACTATACTATGACGTTTTTATGACATTTTATGCCTTACTATACTATTATGTTTAATGCCTTACTATACTATGACATTTTTATGACATATTATGCCTTTCCATAATATGACTTTTTTTTTGACATTTTATGTCTTACTATACTATGACTTTTTTGACGTTTTTATGCCTTACTATATTATGACGTTTTTGTGCCTTACTATATTATGACATTTTATGCCTTACTATACTATGACGTTTTTTTGACATTTTATGCCTTACTATACTATGACGTTTTTTTGACATTTTATGCCTTACTATACTATGACGTTTTTTTGACATTTTATGCCTTACTATACTATGACGTTTTTTTGACATTTTATGCCTTACTATACTATGACGTTTTTTTGACATTTTATGCCTTACTATACTATGACGTTTTTTTGACATTTTATGCCTTACTATACTATGACGTTTTTTTGACATTTTATGCCTTACTATACTATGACGTTTTTTTGACATTTTATGCCTTACTATACTATGACGTTTTTTTGACATTTTATGCCTTACTATACTATGACGTTTTTTTGACATTTTATGCCTTACTATACTATGACGTTTTTTTGACATTTTATGCCTTACTATACTATGACGTTTTTTTGACATTTTATGCCTTACTATACTATGACGTTTTTTTGACATTTTATGCCTTACTATACTATGACGTTTTTTTGACATTTTATGCCTTACTATACTATGACGTTTTTTTGACATTTTATGCCTTACTATACTATGACGTTTTTTTGACATTTTATGCCTTACTATACTATGACGTTTTTTTGACATTTTATGCCTTACTATACTATGACGTTTTTTTGACATTTTATGCCTTACTATACTATGACGTTTTTTTGACATTTTATGCCTTACTATACTATGACGTTTTTTTGACATTTTATGCCTTACTATACTATGACGTTTTTTTGACATTTTATGCCTTACTATACTATGACGTTTTTTTGACATTTTATGCCTTACTATACTATGACGTTTTTTTGACATTTTATGCCTTACTATACTATGACGTTTTTTTGACATTTTATGCCTTACTATACTATGACGTTTTTTTGACATTTTATGCCTTACTATACTATGACGTTTTTTTGACATTTTATGCCTTACTATACTATGACGTTTTTTTGACATTTTATGCCTTACTATACTATGACGTTTTTTTGACATTTTATGCCTTACTATACTATGACGTTTTTTTGACATTTTATGCCTTACTATACTATGACGTTTTTTTGACATTTTATGCCTTACTATACTATGACGTTTTTTTGACATTTTATGCCTTACTATACTATGACGTTTTTTTGACATTTTATGCCTTACTATACTATGACGTTTTTTTGACATTTTATGCCTTACTATACTATGACGTTTTTTTGACATTTTATGCCTTACTATACTATGACGTTTTTTTGACATTTTATGCCTTACTATACTATGACGTTTTTTTGACATTTTATGCCTTACTATACTATGACGTTTTTTTGACATTTTATGCCTTACTATACTATGACGTTTTTTTGACATTTTATGCCTTACTATACTATGACGTTTTTTTGACATTTTATGCCTTACTATACTATTATGTTTAATGCCTTACTATACTATGACATTTTATACCTTACTATACTATGATGCTTTTGGACCTTTTTATTCCTTACTGTACTATATAATTTTCAGGCCTTACTACACTAAGACTTTTTTGGACTTTTTTATGCCTTACTATACAATGACATGTTTGGATGTTTTTATGCCTTACTATACTATGACATTTTGTGCCTTAATATACTATGACTTTTTTGGCATATTTATGCCTTACTATACGATGACTTTTTTTTTTTTTAACTTTTTTATGCCTTACTATAATATGACATTTTATGCCTTACTATACTATGACTTTTTTTTTTACATATTTATGCCTTACTGTGCAATGACGCTTTTGGAAGTTTTCATGCCTTACTATACTATGACGTTTTTATGCCTTACTATACTTTGACATTTTTATGACATTTTATGCCTTACCATAATATGACATTTTTTTTCATGTTTATATGCCTTACTATACTATGACAGTTTTATGCCTTACTTTATTATGACATTTTATGGCTTATCATAATATGAAATTTTTATGACATTTTATGCCTTACTATACTATTATGTTTAATGCCTTACTATACTATGACATTTTTATGACATATTATGCCTTACCATAATATGACATTTTTTTGACATTTTATGCCTTACTATACTATGACTTTTTTGACGTTTTTATGCCTTACTATATTATGACGTTTTTGTGCC